TTACCGCCCACTATACCAGCACACCAATATACACGTATAAACGAATCAATGTACTGGATATAATAATGGCCACTCATATACCACTCACTATACAACATACAGCACTGGAATATACGAGATACACCACAGGACACGCACATACCGCTCACTGTACGAGAAACATCACTAGGTAATTGTATACTATACGAGATAACCCGCCGGGCACGTATATACCACTCATTATGTGAGACACACCTATAGACACGTACGCCACTGGACACGTATAGACAACTTAGTATACAATATACACCAGTAAACATAACAGCTCACTACGAAAAGGTGAATGTATTATTGTGGTCCAATAAACGCAGGAAAAGATGAATTATCGTCTATTATTTCTTCTTCGCATTAAATATCAATCAGGTTTACTGCGGTCCGTATCAGTTTACAGTCAGCAGAGTTGTTAGTTGCGATAATACACTCACTTGCACCGGCGTCCGACTGCTACTTGGTGTCTTGTCGACAACGCTGGAAATAAACGCATCATGCAAGGCCGTTGAGATTTCTGATTCAGAGTAATAGTATGACCTCCCACCCGTAACCTGTGACAGCATTGTCAGTTGAGGGTCTGCTTCGTCACTAAGAGCTAATGTGTCCACCACAACCCCACTTTTGATGACGCCACCAATGACGTCATTAATGAATGGTTCGTAATTTTCCAAGCCATCTGTGATAAGAAACAGTCTTCCCCCTTCTGTTCCCTCTGTACTGCGATCGAGAACCTGAAAGTATTTTTCCACAACAACAACAACAACAACAACAACAACAACAACAACAACAACAACAACAACAAATATAAATATAAACAATTTATGTAACAAGGTATCAACTTAAACTTAAACTTGATGTAAATATAGTTCTGTTTTCATTGACATGAAGTGGGCACATTTGGTTGACACGCTGTTGTACTATTGTTTAGAATCAACAACTTGCATGTTTAGGATAGACAATATAAACATATATTACATGAATTTGATTAATAGATTGTTTACTAGTTGTATTTGGTAGTGGCAACTTTGCAAGGCTTTAACCGTGAGAGATACATCCCTGGTAAATACATGGCCGTGAGAACGACTGCAGCGATTGGTTGATCGCAGGTTTTCTCTGCCAGGCCTTAGAGTTTATGATAGAGTTTGTAAGACTTTGAAGAAGGAGAGAAATGGACAGCAAGGGGTTACCTCTGCTGACATTTTGGAAAAATAAAGCTGGGCTATCTGTAATGAACTGAAGTGTGTATCAATTCGGGTACGAACCCGCTATCATATCCATGGTAAGAGTTATCTGCAAGCTCGCCTGAGTCTTCTCACCTCGAACAGTTCACTAGGTTTACACAAAATATACATAAATTGTTTGCGGACATTACCACTGACGAATGACATACCTCTATACCGTCAAGTAATGCACACCCAATGCACGTATGACCATTAACGATTTTAGGCAGCATATCTATGAGATCTTCTCTCACTTGATCATCGGTTATCTGAGTCAAGGGTAACGTAATCCTCGACGATGTACTGAATTCCACCATACCCAACCAACTACCCAGGGGTAACGTATAACGAATATATCGCGTTGCAGCCTGCACCAACAGATGTATTCTGTCATCCTGAAAAAAACAAATTTACATTCAAATTGTGGTCACAGAATTTGAAGACTGAAACTGCACTTCGTACCTGAAATATATTATATACAAAGTTAGTTATTAATAAATATGACGTACTTACTGTAAACATGCTGCCAGATACATCCATCACCAGTACTGATCGTATATGACGTTCTATGACCACTTTAAAAAAGGGTAATGTATCAACGATATTTGTAGGCGTACTATCAACGAAGTCTGTGTGCTCCCGCATGACCTCCCAACAGCTCCTATGACCGCATTGCTTGTTTTGTTGGTTGTTTGCGAGTCGGTTGTGTCTGGCATCCGGATCTTTGTCGGGATCGTCGTGACAGAATCCAACCACCTGAGGGTGACCATAGTAACAGTGCATCGTATCACGTGACGTCGTTTATACTAAATATCATGTACATCAGATACATTTGAAATAAACCGTATTATTCTATCAACACCCACAATATAATGCTAACTTATGCATTTTCCATTAAACTAGGTTACTTATAATAAGACACAATATATGCACAGTGTGTGACTTAGTTTTAAGCTTAAAGATAATAAAATACTAGGATATCACAAATTTGGTGACAAACTTTGTTTTACTGTTGTCGTGAAATATGAAAGAACACCCACTGTAGCTTCAAATTCCACCGAATTAGCTACGATAACGCATGGCGGAACACTGGTACTTACATATATAGTGGTTATGAGCATGATAGGCTATCATGAAATATTAAAAGTATCTACTACTTTCATTTCACTCACCCCTTCTAGGTATTGCGCATATAAATAGGATGCCGTTGCTGGGTTATCTTCCAAAAATGGATAAAACAGGCATGTTGGTTCAGGCAGCACACCGGAATCAGGATCTGTGTTACATTTTGTCCATCCTTTGCTGCTATCAAGTGACACACCGGTAACAGATTCCGAACACCGGGTCGGTTCTGTTCGTCCATTTTCGTCAAAATAGAAGTTTTCTTCTGGGGAGGTTGGGTACTCATCGAATAGACCCCATCTGAGATGGCCCCATTCGTGAATGATAACTTTGCCTGTAATAATTGGGAGTACACTGTAATTTAATGCTTTATTGACATTATGTTGAGCTTGATTGGCCAGCCAATCGCTAGGCGAACTGAAAAAAAGACTGCAAGTCAGATAGACTTGACAATTTGATTTGTGTCGTGCATCAATCAGAAATTGAATTTCACTGCGGCCCGCGGGTCATAAAATATCTAAGCCACTGAACCCCGGGCGTGCATTATCTTAAATAATTGTGTTTTTTTTTATTTTGAATATGTGGCATGCATATTTCGATCCGTATGCCATTTTTGATTTTCTTTTACGTACCTGAGTCTCCCCACAAGTATGTACTGAAATCGACATCAGTAATCCACTTTGGTGTGATATGGATATACTCTCCAGGTTTTCCACAGGGAAGAGTTTGTTTAGTGTATGGATTGTGCCACCATTCGGGATTCTCCTCGTCCACTAATACATTGGCGATGTCGTACGTCTCCCACGTAGCACGCTCGTAAGCCGGGTCGTCACTCCATGTTTCTGGAACGAGGATGGTGACGTCGTGGAAATATGCGTAGTGGCGACTGGCCTCGTACAGAAATTTAGAGGCATCTGTGAATATTACCTGTGGCACAGAGTAGAAATTGCCGCCAAATGAGCATGCGTCTAAATAACGTAACTGTGTCTATGTTGATTAAGTAAGTTATAGTCAGGTAACTACCTTGTATGATCTCACTATAAAATGCATTTATTTATCTGAATCCACCCCAACACTGTTATATATATATATATTTGTCTGTTTTAGTCAGGAAAAGATTATCTGGTAATCTACCTATAATGTCATTTTTTTCGTTGTCCATTCATCATCAACAACACTTGAGACGAGACCATGTGACCGGGTTATGTGTACTAACACCTGCGTATGTTACGTGTCAATGTGTCAATGTACAAGGAGAACGCTGACACGGCATGTGTGACTGTCGACATTCCACACAGCAGTGCGTATTGCCCCTCATTATTCCTTTCATTAACTGTATATTGCTGTATTATTTGTCTACTGTACAATAAATGTAAAATAGTTGTAAAATCAATACGGAAATAGTGCGACCGTGACATGGTCATTTTTACAATACTTACCCGAAGCCGTTCTAAGATTTCCAAATCTTCTGGAACCTGTTCATGGATCGCTATCAACAAACCAGTGTATCCATTGCATTCCAGAGTTATATGTGCACGTCCATTAATTCCATACACATCTCCTAACATCATCGCAAAAACGAGTAAAAAAAGCTGCCGAATGGCCATTTCTGAAGTAAATCGGTGAGTAGTGTATATTGCAGTGGTGTATATATAGTTGTGATCTACCACGTCACAATGACGAACACAGTAGTGACGACACTTTGGGTCAACAGATAACAGCTTGCATCTTAATTCATATTTCAACGTCACACACGAGCTGATACAAAAATTGCGGGATAACAATTTAGAATTTCATCTAGAAGTTCGTAGAAATTTGTTCAACTGCAAAATATATTTATGGGGTTCTTTTTAAAGCCATTTTTATCAAACAACATAGCACTAATGAAACTCAGATATTCTTGTGATGTTGAGATGAATCGTATTTATTCGTGTTTTGATAATATTTTGTTGTTTTGTTGAAACCTTACGTCCATTTATTTGCCTTGACAGTGATTATTAACCAGACTTGTGGTGTCCAGTGAATAGCGCCACCTGTTGTTCATGTGCGTGCATGTTTAATGAATAATGATAAAAGTTGTGATAACTTGACGTCTTGTATGCGTGTGCGTTATACGAGTGTCCCTCGAATGTGTGGCATTCTGCGCAAAACTTATTGTGGGCGACCCGGAATATGGATGTTTTTTTTTTTTTTTTTTTATAGAAGATGACTATGCTTGTATACCGAATCGAACATTAATTGACAAAACGCCACCAAACGTTCACCTTGCAGATATCTTGTGTCCACGGAAAAAATACAAAACACGAACGCGCGCGGGTCGTCACTGAATTTACAGCCTCTTCACCCGGATGAGCATGAGTGATATTAAATCAACAAGTCAATGAGTACATTTCTATAACATTGTTGTGTTTCCGGCGTGTACGGGCGACGTGCTATGGGTCAAGCTAATTTTGCCTAATTACACGTCGAAAATAGAAAATAACTTTCTGATCATGGGATAACCTTGTGATCACTTCATCGTATTCTGAACTGTGCCGATGCTGTGTGCGAACTCGCTCTGGCCCGAGTATTTCCGAACTCTTAAGCGTTGTAATATATAGGAGCAGAACACGAAAACGAGGCTCGATAGAATTAAGGCGTACCCATGTTTAAGTATAGGATAATACACATAACATGGAACTACGTCAACTTGAAAACAGATGGTTTTATGGTGATGTCTATATATTATATGATGTCTGAGACAGTATGTAGAGTACTTTACATTATGTGGACAGTTGCACATAAAGTACAATATTTTTTACGAAGTCCTCGAAATCAATTACACTTCTAGTAGCGTTATGACCTGTGACTTTGACCCAGAAGTCGACATCCAAATTTGACCCAAAGTTACCTTGACATCTGAACTCCAAAATGCCGTGAAAATTACTTTATTGACAACATGAATTGTCATTGATGATAGATGCTATAATATGTATGGTGTTCAGCTATCCATTGAACATTGTTTGCCCAAGTTGTGATACCTTATATGTTTGTTGTGATATCCAATACTTACCTTGAACATAAAGATTTATCATGTGTACCAGTATCCCAATGTTTGAACATTGATGGATTGTTTCGTAAATAATTTGGTAGCCCTAGTTATTTTTTTTCTATGAACCTGGGAAAGGCGAATTTGCCTATTGCAATTTATCGTCAAGAAAATAATGAGAGATAGACCCCCAGCATCACACTGTCAAAATCAGCAGTCTACTGATAGGGCATTCACCCATAGTATGTTACAATTGTAATGAGACTGGACCTACGGCAAATGAGTATCTCATTGACACAGGATCTCAGGTAACTATTATCAGTAGATCATTCTATGACAGGATCCTGAGTGATGTCCCTATCGCGCCACTTGCAGAACTTCTGCATGTAGCAGGTGTTTATGATGACATCAGAGTATAATGGTGTTACCGAACTAGAAGTATCTTTTCCAGCCAATGTGTTAGGAGATGCTGGAATTAAGTTAATCCTGGCCCTGGTGAGTAGTGACACTAAGTCCTCTACACGTGTGGCGTTGTTAGCAGGCACACATTTGATTGGACCGTATGAGTTAAGTTAGACTGGCACAGTCTGGGCGATTTATTTCTTTTTAAATTTAAAATTAAATAAAACAAATAGCGAAATTGAGGTGTAACTGCGAAATCACATAGACTGGACGTTTGTGACGCGCCCTCTGTGGTGAAAGAAGGAACTAGTGTGTTTTCATACTAGTTTTTATGTTAATGGCAGAATGACAGGCAAGAACGTTATCCAATTAGAGTAATTTGACTTTTAAACTAGTGATTAGGGTTTGCCTGTAAAACAAAACATGCGAAAATCTGGTGCAGTTAATAAGAAACATCATGATAGT